CCCCAAAACCCCAAAACCCCAAAACCCCAAAACCCCAGCACCTAAATTTAGAGCATGAAATGCCAGCGAACTTAATGAAAATTTTTATACACAAATTAATACGTAAGCAGGTCGCAAGACCTTACTTTCTATATAAATAGATTCAAATACATATTCTACATTAAGGTCAAATTGCAATAGAATTATCTTCTACAATGTCTAGGTCATAACTGAGAACTTCATCTACCATGAACTCTATCCCGAATAATTTTTGTTGCAGCTTAATCTATCTTAAGACGCCCAAAAGATCTGAGGAAGTAGGAGATGCATCTTCATAATCTAGTAAGATAAAATCTTCAGGATAGTCTTAACTGCAAATATCAGATAAATTAGCATGCTCCTAACTGTCTTGGTTTGTCTTATGGTCAAATTCATTGCTGAATTCATCATCACTATTACTGTGTTCAAAATCACTATCAATTAAGCTCTTATTGTCTAAGTCATTGTCATAGTAGATATTTTTTAAGTTTATGCTTATTTTGAACTAGCTTGTTTGTGATTTTTCAGAAGTCGTTATTTATTACTACAGGTCAGAGCTGAGGAACTCAATGGGATTTATTAGTTTCTAATTTTGTTCAAAAGTCTCACTTCTTTAAATTTTAATCTTACTATAATTAGTTAACTGGCTCGAACTCGTCTTCGATCTTTCCTAGTAATTACTACAACCTGAATCAGTCTAGCACCTTCTCTTGTTTGGCGGCCTACCTCTCTTCTTTTAAGATTTTCTTTTTTTGAGTTGAATCTCTGATTAGTCAAAATCTTTTTCGAAGGTGGAATCTTCATGGATCCGTGTGGTCTGCTGCTACAGTATTCTATTCTAGTTCCCCTTGTTTTCCTGAATCAGTCTTTTGATTGAGCCTGTGAGACTTGTCGAATAAGTTGTATCAGAGATGTCTGTGGTATCGAGACATAAACTAGAGGGTGAGGAGTGCATCTTGCTTGCAGATTGAGATACGCTAATTAGTGGTTTTTGGCATAGACCGTCATTTGAGTAACCCTATGATGGTCTGAAATATTTAGCATCCCTTCGCTTCACGAATATCTCCTTAAGAGCCTGCTAGAGATGTTCTTTGCTCTTGACATCTTGTTAATCTTCCTTTGCTTCATGAGTAATCATGAGGAGATTCAACAGCTATCTATTTCAAAAAAGATTAACTATTAGCTCAAATAAGGTGAGGAGAATTGGATCAAACGAAATTCTTGATGTACTTACTGTGAGCGTAATCTGTATCTATCTTTGAGTGCTTTAGCCTGAAATACCGAGTTGTTGAGCGATCATCGCACGTCCTTCATTTGGCTCTTTTATTAGTTGGTATTTGCAGTGTGCACCTTTCCACTTTGATTCAGGAGGGAACTTTATTAAAAATGATCGATCACTCCCTGGAGATTCTTTTTAAGGCTTTGCATGTTTCTTTCTAACTTTTGCCCCTTTAGATGAGGACCTAAAGTTTAATCAATTATTCGCAAATTCATCTTACAATCTTAATTCTTGCAACATCCCAGTTCCGACTTGGAAAGCGTTTGATGAGTATTGGTGAGGGTGTTCTATTCAAAAAGTATACTCTTTTGTTAAGTATTATGATCTTAAATCATCAGCGATTAATAAATTGAACTATTTTTTATTTTATAATATTGTTATCGGCCCATATACATACTATCACATTTCTAGGGGTTTTGGGGTTTTGGGGTTTTGGGGTTTTGGGG